AGAAGGTTTGAGCATTAATCACCACGCTTACTCAATGTGGGTTAGCGATTTCATACTTAAGTTCCTTTCATCAAGAAATCTTTGATATGACTCAATAATTTATTTTTAACTTTGTGATGAAATGGCAGCTAATGAGGTTTCAATAAACAGATTTCATTAATGTCTGTTTTATGTTCGTTTTATATACAGATAGCCTCAGTTCATTTATGATTTTGCCGTTTTTAATTTTCATTGATGCCTAAAGCTGATTTTTATTATTATTTTTTCTTTTTTGCGATAATAAATTATAAGGTGTAAATATTTTAGTTTTTAGTCATTTATTTGTATTTATAATATAAGGTATTCCCTTTTTCTCGAAATTACAAATTTCGGTAATAATATGAAGTTCACGGGCCTAAACCAAGTGAACATCATGGAGTACTTTTTCGGTGGTCTCTTCTTGCAAAAACTTCCTAACAATACGACAGGTGTTTAGAATTGCGGCTTTCGTTTCGTATTCATTGTATTCATGTTCCTTCTTAAAATATATCTGTTTATGATGACAAACAGTCATGCTCAAAGGTCTCGATATAATTTGTATTTAATTGTAAGCAACGAACGGTATTGGTGTTCTGATCACCAAACATGTTAAGTTACGCGCAAAATGATGTGAATTCCAAGAATGAGAGACGAAATTTAATATAATATAATCTTCATCATATAGAGGTAAATTAAAAGACTTAATAAACTGATATCATTTACTTTTAAATATAATATTAAACGAAATCTATAAAATATTTTTTAACCCTTAGAAGCATAGTATAAAAAAAAATACCCGGTATATGGCAATAGGCTCACCCCCTATTACATGGGACTCATAACATAAATAGTGAAAAGTGAGTATTACATTGTACAGTGGCATTAAATACCGGAATGTGTTCTTCTGCCTACCCCTTCGGTGGTAAAAGGCGAGATGCTATATTATGTTATATTTTAGGCAATTAATATTACTTAGTTGTACTCCTGCAAAGAGTAAGTAGCTTATGTGTCGCGGAGTACCTAACGGGTAACCGGGGCTCCGGCTCGACGTGCAGGAGAAGGAATGGGGTGGTTTTTAGTCAGTAAGAGTCTAACACTCCCTCCCGCCTCACCCAGGCGGGAGCAGTCATTCGATTATTTCCCCCCCTTAAAAAAAAGTAGCTTATGTGATGAGAACATTTCTGAAAAGTCCTATGAGAAAAAATGTTTGGCACGTTTTTATTGCATCATTTTAAACAAGTCATACATTAAAAATGTAATGTTAAACAACTCATTTTTAAATGGAAATAATTTCTTACAAAATTAATCGACTTAGTTTGCGAGAACCTTAAAAACTGACCTCATTTTGAAAAATACAAATAAACGATCAAACGGTAAGGTGCAGTTATGTGTGAAGTAAGTTCTTTTTCATTTTGTTCTTTGTTCTCAATCACTTGAATATTTTAAGCCCTGCAGCAATTTGGAACATGCTCTTTGGTGACTACTGACTATCTTATTGGTTGGATCTTTTTTTATGGCATTAGCCGGTATACGAGCAGACGGATCACCTTATGGTAAGCAATCGGCGTCGCCCATGGACACCTGGAATACCAGAGGCGTTACAAGTACGTTACCGGCCTTTTGTGGATTAGGAGTTTGAGGATCGTTGGGGATTCAGGAATTGGGGAGATTGGAGAAAGGGAGGGTAATTGGGCCTCCGGTAAACTCACTCACACGACGAAACACAACGTAAACGATGCTTCATTTCGATTTTCTGTGAGGCCGTGGTATCACTCCGGTCGAGCCGGCCCATTCGTGCCGAAGCATGGCTCTCCCACACTTAAAATCAGATCTTCGCGTTGTATGCTTCATGTGTGAGATTTTCAATATCAAAACTTTTTAGAATTAAACAGAATTCACTATCTATACTTACTATCCAGAACTTTAGCACGGTAATAATATTATACAGTATTCCAATTTCATACAAACGGACGACGAAACGGCGAGCTATACCTACGCGCCTGTCACGGAGAACCTAACGGGTAACCGGGGCTCCGGCTCGACGTGCAGGAGAAGGAACGGGGTGGTTTTTAGTCAGTAAGAGTCTGACACTCCCGCCCGCCTCATCCAGGTGGGAGCAGTCATTCGATGATTCCCCTCTTAAAAAAAAAGCTGTGCCGCACTAACGGACGGTGTGTTGTTTTTTTAACAATAACCGCGCGACTTTTCCTTAAAAATCTGCCTAATCTAATAAAGTTGGATGACTGGCTCGTTGGCCGAGTGGTCACAAGTGCGATTTGGAGCAAGAGGACTCGGATTCGATTCCCGAGTCGGGCAAAGTACTACAGGGTTTTTTAAAAAAATCTCAGTAATTGCCCGTAGTCTGGCATTGTGCCCGATATATGGGAATAGGCTCACCGCCTATTACATGGGACTTATAACATAAATAGTGAAAAGTGGGTGTTACATTGTACATTGGCATTAAGTGCCATAATGAGCGCATCTGGCTACCCCTTCGGGGTAAAAGGCGTGATTATAAGTGTATGTCTAAGTAATGTTGATAATTGATATTAATTTACATATTTTGGATGGAGACCAGTACTTACTTGCGTCTGTTATTTAACTCTTACGAACGACCCGCTGGAAAAGTAATGGGTGGCATAAATGTACTCTGACGTCACTATGTATTTTTTTTAAGGGGGGGAAAATCATCGAATGACTGCTCCCGCCTGGGTGAGGCGGGAGGGAGTGTCAGACTCTTACTGACTAAAAACCACCCCGTTCCTACTCCTGCACGTCGAGCCGGAGCCCCGGTTACCCGTTAGGTTCTCCGCGATGACGTCAGTATATTACAATTACTAGTTTATATAAGAAGTATGCGTATACGGAACCACCTAGACATGCAGATTGCAATGAATGAGCATCCAGACGGGCAGACGGACTGCTGATCGTGACTTAGATACTTAAGTATGAAGTGGACGTCCCATTATAGAACGTTGGGGATCTTTTATTATCATTTTATTTGCTTTTTTAATGGTTTTGTTATTGTTTATTATAAGTTTAAATAATTAATTGTGGGAGAGCCATGCTTCTGCACGAATGGGCCGGGTCGACCGGAGTGATACCACGGCTTTACAGAAAACCGACGTGAAACAACGCTTGCGTTGTGTTTTGTCGTGTGAGTGTGGTTACCGGAGGCCCAATTACCCTCCCCTTCCCCAATTCCTGAATCCCCAACGATCCTCAAACTCCCCATCTGATATTCCAGGCCCAATTACCCTTCCTAGTCTCCGTTTCCCGAATCCCCGAATCGTCCACAATCTTCAAATTCACAATTCCCAAAAGGCCGGTAACCGCCGCCTCGGTGTTTCGAGTGTCCATGGGCGGCGCCGATTGCTTACCATCAGGTGATCCGTCTACTCGATTACCGGCTTATGCTATAAAAAAAAAGTTCATTATTGTTTGCCTATATAATAATACACTTGACACTTAAAATTCAGATTATTATAAAATAAATGGATGGATGGGACTATAAAATAACCGATTTTATCGTTCCATCCATATTAATTGTTGAAAATGATATAATCAAACTGGTTCAACTTCAAATAAAAAAAAATGTCTTCACCTTAAATTTTATATTTTATTGTAAAAAAAATAAAGTCACAAATTAAAATGATAACTAGTTTTATATCAGTAAGGTTAACATAAAAAGCCGGCAATGCATTTGAACCATTGCTTTAAGCTTCCTCATGAGAATTTCTTTCTTCTTCTTTAAAAAAAATCTTTGGTGTTCTGTGTGTCTATGGGCGACACCGATTACTTACCATCAGGTGATCTGTCTACTCGTTTGCTGTTCTATCCCATAAAATGTTTATTTTTTCTTACTTAACCCTTCAAAGAAAAGGACATGTAAAGTATGTTTCTGTCTTTATTTTTTATTCTGTACCAGACTTATTGCTTGAATGAACAATGCAATTTATGCATGCGCGGTCAAAGTATCGTCTGCCTTTGATTGCCTCAAATTGAGAATCTGATTGCATTTGTAATTTTATGAAATTATTTATTCTTGTTTTGTGTTGAATTTGATCATGTGCGGTTCATTTTCAGGGTCGGGCAATATATATGGTTTTGGGGATTTCGAATTTAGTCTTAAAGATTTGGAATAAGAAGGTTCATTAATGGCAGAATCCAACAAATAGAAAGAATCATTATAATTATTATCATATAAATTTAAAATCAAATTAAGTACTAATGGAAGTATATAGTAATCATTATAATTAGATATGTACTCGCATATTTATAAATGAATAAAATTATTTTTGAGTCATCTCCTATTGCAGTGTAATTTTGTCATATTGTGTAACCAGTCCTAATAATTAAAAACTTATTTGTTTACTTCAACAATTGATACAATTTTATATTAAAACATGTTTTTATGGTAAGAAGGTACATTTCAATTAGTAGAGACCTATCTAAAGTTGATGCCACACAAAATAAGGACCAGAACTTTCATTTTTATCATTTTTTTTCTATGGCAATACGATTTTATCATATCTATATATATAAAAGAAAGTCGTGTTAGTTACACTATTTATAACTCAAGAATGACTAAATCGATTTGGATGAAAATTGGCGGGGTGGTAGCTTAGAACCAGGAGACGGACATAGGATACTTTTTATCTAATTTTTTTTTACTTTTACCGAAAATCACGAACGGGAATGGGGGGGAAATGGGATTGCGCGTACGAAGTCGCGGGCAGAAGCTAGTTAAAAATATTTGAACTCGAGAAAACACTTATTGTGTTATTTAGCTATTTTTAAGAAGACATTATTGAGTACATACCTACACGGGAGTTTTAATGAGTCATTTGACATGAATATATGTACATACATGTTGTTAATACTGACTCTACGTATATTGGAGCTACACCTAGAAAAACATACTAACAAAGTTTATCTTAATAAATGCGATAAACTTACAACCCGGGACATCCCGGCGATAACAAAAACGGTCTAAACGTGTGAAATGTGAATAATTTCACACTGAGAATGTATGAATTGAAAAAATCAAGATCAATCCCGGTCGGTAGGACGGGGCACATTCACGGAGCGCGGGACTGGAGTGGCGACATGTGGCGCGCGCCCGCGCCAGTCGCCCGGCCGCCGCGCTCGCACGATGCTGCGTCTATCCCTTCTCGTGATCTTCCTTACGCACCGAATCCGAACCGCTCATGTCACTGACACGCCGTTCTCGAACCGTTTCGACAAACTTTACCAAAAACTAGACAAGTTAACTGCTGCCCCCGACCGGTATTCTGAACCCTCTCCGGAAGACAAGTTATACGAAAAATTGGATCGATTAAATGCCATTCGGTTGCCCCCGGAACGTGAGGAGCTGACTGATGAGGATGAGGAGTTGTTGTCTGCTATGAAGGTGTGGGGAGGGTTGAGTGCGGAGCAGATGGATGGAGTGGTGAAAGACCTGCAGATGATGAAGGAGGAACGGCGGGAGGAGGCTGGGGACCAGGAGTATGCGGAACCTTCTTGGGATGAGGAGGTAGGTATCTGGTGGATAGTGTCTCTGTGTTCTGTTGACGATGTTTGAAGGTCTTTGCAAGTGCGTTCGTCATGTGATGATCAAACAAATGAAAGCTGAAAAAATACAAAATTCGTAATTATTATTTATTCAGTTACTATTTGAGATGCATACAAGTGTTACTTGGGGTAAGTGAAACTAATTATTGTTTGTCGACCGCCAGTGTACCGCGTAGTGCAGCTACATTTGTTATTTAATATTCAAATTAAACAGGGAAATGTTTCTTGTGAAAAATGTAACACTTTGAATTATGCATTGACGTAATTCATCAGGTCGGTAAATAAATGAATGAGTAAATAACTAATATTAAGAAAATGCGTTTAATTTTTTTAATAAATTACGCATTTCACATAAGATATTCTTTCCTACAGATACTGAATTTAATCTAAAATTATTGTGTACCAATACGTAGTTGCTTGAATTAAAAAAAATAATCTGTCAAAGTCAAAACATTTATTTCAATAAATACTTAATTCGGCACTTTTGAAACGTCAATAATTAAATTGTCTGTCAGTCCGTCTGTCAGTAAAGCTAGGCGCTTGTTCCAAAATGTAGTTTCGAATGGAGAAGAACGAGCAAGAAACTCCATCTTTACTCTTTTAAAATAATGTTTTTTACAGTCTCATTGATACATTATCTGATCCTTTACCTAATCTTATACTTTTATTATATAAATCGGAAGAGTTTGTTTTTTTTGTTTGTTTGTTTGAACGCACTAATCTCCGTAACTACAAGTCTGATTTCAATAATTCTCTTTGTGTTAGATAGCGCATTTATCGAGGATGGCTATAGGTTATAAAACATCACGCTACGACCAATAGGAGCTGAACAGAGCGTGTGAAACCGCGTGGAAGTAGCTAGTGTATATATGTATATGTGAGAACGATGTAACGACAAAACTGAAAACAGTTATAACACTTACAAAAATAAAATTATATCAAATCTTAAAGCTCCATTTAAAAAAGTAAAAAGTATTTCTATCTACAAAAAACTTCCAAGTATTTTTGTTCTAGTTTCTTATAGATGTAGCCCACATTCTTATCAATTTTATCTCAGTAAACTTTACGAGGTATCTAGGTACATTTGCACAATTTTACTTTTCCTCTATCTTCAAGCTGTTGCATATAAAGATAAAACATACAACATAACATCACGCCTTTTTTCCCCGAAAGGGTAGGCAGAGGTGAACATTATGCCACTGTACAATGTAACACCCACTTTTCACTATTTATGTTATGAGTCCCTTGTAATAGGGGGTGAGCCTATTGCCATATACCGGGCACAATTTCAGACTCCGTGCTACTACTGAGTTTTTTTTTAAAAACCCAGTAATACTTTGCCCGACCCGTAAATCGAACCCGAGACCCCTTGCCCGACAGTTGCACTTGCAACCACTCGGCCAACGAGGCAGTCCAAGATAAAACATATCTTAATTATCAGATTACTTTAACTGTTCGGTCAAATGTTAATAAATGTGATGTCAATTAGTTTCTTTATACATAACTGTAATAATAATTATGAATTATGTATGCGTTATAGGTATAATTATAATAATAATAATATAATCATTATATTAAAGCGTAGTCGTTAAAAAATTGTTGTTAAAGAAAAAGGTATTTAATGATATGGTAATATATACTTTACTGACTGGAGGTAGGTACATAATGTATGTTTTTTATGAATCTCCTGATGGTAAGTAATCGGCGTTACCCATGAACACCTGGAACACCAGCGGTGTTAAAAGTGCGTTACCGGCCTTTTAGGATTAGGAATTTGAGGATTTTTGGGGATTCAGGGATTGCAAAAAGGGGGACGGGGAATCGGGCATCCGGTAACCTCACTCACACGACGAAACACAACGCAAGCGTTGTTTCACGTCGGTCTTCTGTGAGGCCGTGGTATCACTCCGGTCGAGCCAGCCCGTTCGTGCCGAGGCGTGGCTCTGCCACACTTAAAATATTTATTAATATATTTCAATGTGACTTAACTTTAATTTTCTTAACTTAAAGTCAACTACAACAGACTGACTTAGATTTAAACCGACTTCAAAAAAAGAAGGAAGGTCTCTGTCTTACCTGTATGTATATATGTTTGTGCGCGAATATCTCGGAAATGGTTGAACCGATCTTGATGCGGATTTCAGAAAAGAGTTTGTTAGGGAAAAGTTTTAGTGTATAAATTAACTAAAGTAAAAATAATTAACTAAACTGAAATGTATTAATTAAAGAAAAGACGAGGTTGAAGTCGGCTTATAAAATAATCATTTCAAAGGTGAATCAATCATAGTTTCCTAAAATCTTTTCTGAAAAATTGCTACATTTGAATTAAAAACAATAAATAAAAAGATTTTAAACGACTACTTTACTTCTTTTAACTCCCAGAGGAAGTTGAAGTGCATAATATTATATGTTAACACCGGCTTTTGACCTATTTTGGTACTATAATAATCTTATAACGAAGAAGGCTTCTTGCCTTCTAATATACACATCATCAACAGCCATAGATATAGTCTTATCATATCAGTGTCAACAGCCTATAAATGCCCACTGCTGAGCAAAACCTCTTCTTACACGAAGAAGATTTGAGCATTAAACACCACGCTTTCTCTTTACGGGTTGGCGATTACAAACTTATATAATATAAAATTATAAACCCAGGTTACCTCACGATGTTTTCCTTCACCGTTTGTCTGTGGTGTGTAAATAATCTTAGAAAGTACATATAACGCGGAAAAAGTCACATTAGTACTTGCGGTTGATAGGTTTCGAACTCTCATGCATAAGAAATAGGTGTCTTAAACCTCAGGGCGACCACGACACATATACACATAGCAGATAGCAAATACATACACATAGCAGATTGTCTATATCTATATCTATACATACTTATAATAAAATCGTAGAAAAATCAAAACTGTACATTGAATATTTTTTAAACAGAATACTTGGAGCGTGATCTACAATCGATACCGAAGACAAAAAAATTTTAGAATTTTTGTCTGTTTGTCTGTATGTATGTTCGGGATTTTCTCAAAAAGTAGTGCATGTATTTACTTCAAATTTTGCATAAATATTATTAGCAAGTCGGGTCAACATATAGGCTACATATCATCATGCTATCATCTACGGGGGAACAGCCCTATACTAGGTACTGAATATTCCCTTGATAAAGACTCATTCAAAAGCCTAAATTCTGCCAGTAGACATTACTCTACGCGGATGAAGCCGCGGGCAACATAATAAAATAAAACTCGTTACACGCTTGACCAGTGCTAATTAATACCAGGATGAAACTAGTTAAATACCACCTTTTAACCACAAGACTAACCAAGTTGAGGTTCAGATTAGATTAGTAGGGAAAAGTTAGTTTCATATAGTTACTGCCGCGTTGAGTTGAGTTGCAAGTTCGTTGCGACTGTGCAATGCGACCTTCGATAATTGTTGCAAAATTAAAAAAAATTAAAATCCGTTTAAAATCAGAATGGAAGGCAATGGGATTGTCACCGATGTTTAGTTGTTTTTTTTAATTTTTTTTCATAACTGCAAAGGTACCATACTAAGTAAATATACCATACCATCTGAAAAATCTTAGATTAGGTATTTATTATCACCATCTGTCTAAGTTGTAACAGAAAACCAGTGATAGATGTCATAAAGTTAATAATTGAAAATTAAAACGAAACGAATCGAAATCTTGCGTCTGATCATGTATTTACAACAAATGAGCATTTTAAAATGAATGACTTTTACAATCACTTTTTCAAAATGAAGTTATCTTTAAATATTTTTAACTGCTTTCATCTCAAACAAACAAAATTAAATGGAATGTTTAACGAATTGTGCACAGATTAATAAAATTGATTGTTATTTTCTTTTTTATCTTCGCACTCGTTTAACAAGAATGAAGTATGGTCGACAACAAAAGGGAGGCCGTATGAGCAGGAAAAAGAATAAAAAGTTGTTTTTTTTTTTGTTTTCGTCTCAACACACGTGACAATATTTCGAATATGTTTTTTGCATGTTCTGCCCTTTACTAGCAAGGCCACAGATGTTTGGGAGCATTATAGTGAGTTTAAATTTCGAGCAAGTTTTAACAAGGATTTTTATGGACAAGTATTTAATATTTTAATTTATATTTCATTTGTGTTGTAGTAGATTTATTATAGGTACGTTATAGGTGTGCCTATAAAATGAATTCTTTTTGGAAAATAGAAAATTAGAGTTATATATGTTTATGTTATCTGTGGCAAGCTGGCCACTTTCAATAGGGAAACCTATTTATGTTTTTCTTTTGTTTTTAAAATATACGAATGTGTTTCTGACTAGCTTGTCTAATTCACACGATAAATAATTATTGCATTATATTATATTGAAAATATATAACAATTAGGAATTCTGTTCTTAAAATTAGTGTAGGATGTTAATTTTAACTTCGACGTAATTATTTTTCAAATAACTTGAGCTTCTATAATAGCGGAGGATTTTATTATTTGCTCATTTTTTTCAAATAGTTAAATCAAGCTTTTGAAATGAACTACGTTACCAGAAGATGGACTGACAGACAACTTTATTTTGACCTAACAAAAGTTTAGTTAAAATAAATATTTTATTTTAGTTCTAAATTCAAAAGACTATTTTGCTGACTGTATAAAGTCAGCAGCTACCGCGCATGCGTAGAGTAGTAAGTCTAGTTTTATTGTAATTTATTTACAGATCCATGAGAGTGCAAAAACGAAGCGATTTATATATATTTAATTTTATCTTTTAGTAATTTAACTGGCCGAGTGAGTTTTAAAATAGATTCCAGATTCCAGTTTAAAGGGACTTTATTTAATGAAGGGTTAGGCAGAGGGACTTTCAGTTTCAATGTCCGTTGCACAAATTATATCAGGTCAACGATTATAATGAAATGTGCATAATAAAAAATATATAACATAACATAACATCACGCCTTTTATCCCC